CGTTCCCACCCAGAGTTTTAAATGAGCCTAAGGGACATTTATTGTGTCTGATGATCTTAGATTTTTGGCAGCTTACAAAGGAGCGTGCCCACTCCCTCACGTCTTTATCCATGCCAGGCCATCAAAACGGTTCTGCTATAAGCTTGATAGTTGCACGAACACCTGGATGAGAAAGTTTGTGCAATGTGTTGAAGACATTGCGTCGATAATGTTTAGGCAAGATTGAGCGATCCCTACCTGTAGATGTGTCACACAGTAAGGTTTCCTCACCTGTTCTCATCTGTTTGATGCCTAGTTTAAGGGTTGTAGACGATAACTCGTGCTGAAGATCAGTGTCTTCTTTTTGAAGCTCGGCGAGTTTAAGAAGGTCGATTCCTTGGAAACTGTTCAAAGAAGTTATGCGAGATAAGGCGTTTGCAACTACATTGTTTGCCCCAGAGATGTGTTGAATATCTGAAGTAAACTGAGAAATGCAGTCCAGTTGTTGAGACTCACGAGGTGAGTACTTGTCTGAAGAGGAGCTTAACGATAAAGTAAGATGTTTATGGTCAGTGAAAAGGGTATATTCATGGCCTTCGATATAGTGTTGAAAATGCCGTACAGCACAATACACAGCTAGGAGTTCTCTACCGTATGTACTGTACCTCGATTCGGTTTCTAGCAACCGTCTAGAGAAAAATGCCAAAGGTTGCCAGGAGTGGTTAACCCATTGTTGTAAGACTCCTCCGATTGACGAGTCAGATGCGTCCACCGCGATGCTAATGGGTGTTTGAGTGTCCTGATGCGCAAGCATTGTTGCTTTAGCGATAAGTTCCTAAATTTTGGAGAATGCTTTTCGTGCGGTGTCGTCCAAATTAATGGATTTCACATTTCCACGAAGTTGGTCGGTAAGGAGTTTCATGAGTAACGCGCATTTCGGTATGAAACGTCTATAGAAACTTACGAGGCCGTTAAACGTGCGTAATTGCTTGACGGTGGTCGGTTCTGGATAATCCAGAATGGCCGTTATTTTGATCCTAAGGGGTCGAATGCCTTGAGCATCTATAGTGTGTCCTAGGAAGTCTCATGAGTCAACTCCGATTTGGCATTTCTGAACGTTTACAGCAATGCCATGTTTCTGTAGTCGTTCGAAAACAAGATCCAGATGCTTGAGACGTGTTTCTTTGTCCGGACTTGCGATTAGGCAGTCGTCAACATACGCGTGTAAGAAGTTGAGACCTCGGAAAACGTCATCCATGAATCTTTGGAATGTTTGAGCAGCGTTCCTTAGACCGAAAAGCATTCGCGAAAATTCATAGAGTCCGAAGGGAATTATGATAGCTGTTTTCGGTATGTCGTCAGTAGCCATAGGGATTTGGTTATACGCTTTAACCAAGTCGATTTTCGAAAAGACAGTTGTACCTTTCAAGGTAGCTGTCAAATCGTGAATGTGAGGCAACGGGTAACGATCGAGATTGGTTTTCGCATTCAATCGCCGATAGTCGGCTATGTTCGCCGGCTACGGTTGCCGTTAACGCGTGCCGGCTTGAAAGTTTCCCGAGTTGTTTTTCGAGTCAGTCGGTTTCGTGTTGGGAAAATTGCAAGGTTTTCTGCAATTTCTGGAAGACTTTCCTTACTGGTTGTGATACCAGCACCAGTCGGGGTTATCCGTCTTTCGTGGTCTAGGGACAGATCGCTTGCGTGAAATGCTTCTACGTGGGGTGCGCGGTCTCTTACGGTCGGTACGAAGATTGAGATAACGCGTAAGTGTATGACATAACTCGGTTATATCATTCTGAGTCGTGTGAGGATTTTCTTTTACAGAAAATACTTCGATAGTAGATTTCGTAATTTCTAAAATACGACCGGCAGATGCAGCCAGTTCGTCTAAGGCGTTGTCCTGAAGCGAGACAAGCAAAGTTTGCACCTGTTGAGGAAGTTTAGACAATAAAAGTTGTTTGAATAGACCTTCGTCGAAAGTTTTTGGACCTACAACCTCTCTCATCCGTTGCAACATGTCCGTCGCAGAACCGTGTTTCAGGTCGATGTTATTGAAGAGTTGATCTAACCTTTGTCGATCGGTTAGGTCTCCTCGCTTAAGAATCGAACGTTTTAAGGTTTCGTAAGGTTCAGAAACATCACTAGTAAACATACTAGGTGTTACGTACCTGTTGAATTCGCGCGGTAGTGCCTTGACTACTGCGAGGAATTGTGCACGTGTGTCGATCTCACCGTGCTCGGAGAAGTCGGCTTCTGCGTAGCAAAACCAGGCTTCGATGTTGTCGGGCCAGAAAGGCATCAGTTGAAACGAAGGTGCGGACAAAGTCTTAAGCTTGAGTACTTTGGGTGTCTGTTCAGTCATGGTGAAATATGAAGTACGATAATGAATGACGGGAAAAAATATATATATCGAAGAAAAAACACGAAAAAAATCAATGTTTAAAAAATAAAAAATAAGGCAATGACATATAAAAATCCCAAAAAGGAACAGTCTCACAGTTGCGATTCGGCGTATCAGATCACGTTGGTCTTGATGATGTCACAGGTATTCAGTGTTTGACAACGCTTCTACCCGTAACACCTAATATATTTCGTTCCCACCCAGAGAAATCAAAAGACAGAGTCGAGGAGATCGGAAGAGTATATTTGGCGATGACCAATATATCGGAATTCTCTGATCTAATCTGGCTAGCGATTGCGGTTGATGTTGAGCACGGCGTTACCACACGTGATCTGGTGCGGATGCCTGACCGAGCGCCTTCAGCTAGGTGAGTCCACTAAAACATATGGTCAGCATCCAATGTCGAAAACTTAGTGCTATTTATTTTGGGGATTTATTTACCGCTACAGTCTCACTAATGATGATGACACAGGTATTCAGTGTTTGACAACGCTTCTACCCGTAACACCTAATATAATTCGTTCCCACCCAGAGAAATCAAAAGACAGAGTCGAGGAGATCGGAAGAGTATATTTGGCGATGACCAATATATCGGAATTCTCTGATCTAATCTGGCTAGCGATTGCGGTAGATGTTGAGCACAGCGTTACCACACGTGATCTGGTGCGGATGCCTGACCGAGCGCCTTCAGCTAGGTGAGTCCACTAAAACATTTGGTCAGCACCCAATGTCGAAAACTTAGAGCTATTTATTTTGGGGATTTATTTACCGCTACAATGTGCTAATGTTCTGTGTTATTCATTCATGAGTACCTTTAACAGATTGTTCTTAACCAATCTCATACCGAAAATGTGGAGGAAGATAAAAATAATCCTTATACGTAAGAAGGTATCTGACAATAAAAATGTGAAATTTATACCCATAGCAATAACTTCACCTTTCCCCAAAACAATGGAAAAATTATTGATACTTACACTTCAACCTGCAATTAAAGAGCACATTGATCCGTATCAGTTTGCTTACAAATGCAAAAGAAGCACCTTAGATGCTGCTATCGCTCTGCATCATAATATAGTGTTCAGCTTGGAAAAGGGTAAGAAGAGTATTCGACGCGCTTTTCTGGACTATACTTTTGCTTTCGATTCTATACCAAGACAACTTTTAAGTAACAACGCTGACAGCTCGATAACCAACTGACTATGTTCCTACCTCTCTGGAAGAGAACAGCACACTGTTCGTAAGAAAGTGTTCAATGTCTTTACTGTCTCATGAAAGTGTCACAAGGAGCTGTTCCTTTGCCTATTGTTTTCTTTTTTTCTGAATGATCTTCCACAGAAAACACATTTATTAAATGTGCGGACGATCTTATGTATGCCAGTTTCTACCTCTTTACAACTCCTTGAAATAGATGAGTTTTTGTCTCGTAACAAATAGTGGTCTGCTGTTAATGGTCCCATACTTAATTCGTCTAAATGTCAAACTGTTAACTTTATCCCGAGACATGAACAGCACCTAAACACAATGATGGTGTTCCATAATCCTTGAACCATTGGAGATTCTTTGATAAACACAGTGTCGTGGGTTACTTATCTTGGTGTTACCTTTCCTCTGATTTCTTGGTCTTTTCATGTTTTACTGTTATCGAAGTACGTTTTCCGCCTGACCGACTACATAAAGAGGCTGCATGATTTCAGGATTATTCAACATTTAATCTTACAGTTTGTCAATTCTTTTCTATATTTCTAAAACTGCTGAAGACAGTTAGCAGGGTGTGTGGTGAATCTTTTGAGGCCATTATTAATATGGTTGCGGATAGACAACTTAAGTCTTACAAACTCCTGATGGGTGTTACATTATCAGATAGTGACCGTCCTCTTCATCCATGACTTTCATCTTTTATAGCTTCTGGTAGAACGAGACTTCAGTGCATTAAAATCCATGCACGCAAGCTGACGTAAGAGGTTCTATATTACCTTATCTAGCAAACATACTATGTGATGAACAGGTTGTTTGAGTTAACCTAGTCAATGACCTGTATTCTTAAACATGTGTCTAATCTAAAACTTCTACAAATTCAAATGTTTTTCACCTTCTGCTCTTCCCTTGTCATTTTTGTTTTTGTAAAAGAAACTTTTTGAAATACCTCGTTCTGAGAATTCAATAATGTGTATCAAGATAAAATATTGAGTCATTATTAATAATAATATTAAATACAATCTACATACACAAGAAAAATATACTGGGCGTTACTTAAATTGTCAGGAATTGGTGTGTTTCACTTTCTTTTAGTTTAATAATCCACAATTATAAGTAGTTATTAATTCCGATCACAATTGTTATAATTCAAAATGTGTATCCACATGAAGGATAAAATGAGAACATCTGTGGTGTTTGAATGAACCAATGATACCTTTGTACTGGTTGAATGCTTGATTTCGAATTCTAAATACAATACATTCGTTGGTGCCTGTGTCTTCTTAATTCAATTGCGTTAATCCTGGAATTCCTAATTCATACGACAATTAGAATACTATAACATCACTGTGGGCTGTAAACAAAGACAGTAAATACATTAGAGTTCTGTTATCATAACAACACGTAATGGAGAACAAGAGACATATACGCGCAACACTGTTTTTGTAAGATGTAATCAGTGTCATGATATTGGAGAATTCAAAACGAAAATGGAAATATAATGTCATGCATTTTTAGACAACTATTTTGCAGTCACTCATAGTAAACGAACAAATTATGAGAGTTAGTGAAAAGAATGAAGATAGTAGCAAAAACTAGTTACAAAATAAGTCTGTCATAATTACGCACATAAAGGTCTGTGCGCACTTCAGCAAAAAAGCATCAAGACACATCATCAAATATTTTATTAACATACCAAAGTGAAAATAACTACCAACCAAGATTTACATCATTATTAGACTTGAAAGACACGAAAGCGTCATTAACAACAAATTCCAGTGAAGCAGTACAAAAAAGCGATTGATACTGAATTAAAGTTAAAAATTCACTAATAAACAACTATTTTATATTATGTGGACTTAGATAACTGGACAAAGAAAGACCGTAGTTCTTTGATGAGGAAGTTACATGTATCTTTCTCCGTCTTCAGGTGATACTTGAAAGATACATCACCAGATCCCTGTAACTAATGTATTACTTAAAATCAACTCACCTCTTTATTGTAATTAGCTTTATTCTCCATCTGATCCTCTAAATAAAGGCGTTGATAAATCAGTCTGGAAATGTTTGTGAAAATTATACTACTTACTTATATTTAGACTTTATCATTCTGTAGTAAGATACCCGCTCCGACAAAGAGTTTAGATATAAATTAATTTCATGAACATCTGGTGTGTTGAGAACTAAGATAAAAATGCGAAAGTTAGAAGCAACAAAGACAAATCTTCAAGTGAGCAATAATGGAATAAAGTTCTAAACAAACAATTGAACACATTTTGTAAGACTGTCACATCACTAAAATATGTGTCTCAGTCATTAACGACGAAAATAAAAAAAGAGAAAAGATCCCAATAATGACGAGATATGGTCGGAATGTTGAGTGGCTACAACAGTATATAGCCACGATTATGAATTAATAATTTCTCTCACTGTTTTGAATATGAATTATCTTCTTCCTCTTTGTTTTGTACGCGCGTATCATCAAGTTTAAACTATGTATTATGAAATTCCACACATTTTATATATCTTTGTGCTTATATATACAATCTTATAAAAACACCACCAAATCCTTTTGATATTTGATCATTTTACCTGAACTCAGTGAACTACGGAAACTCAGATATACGTAACAAATACTAGCTTACAGAGTCGCTTTATCTTAATTTTAAGTAATTCATTATTTTCTGTGTATCCTAGTTATTCAATCCAGTTTAACATTTTTCTGCGACCACAGTCATCTATTTATATCATTGTTTGCAGGGGGAGCGAATATAGCTGCTCATCTACATATAAGGCTGTTTACGTTCAACTTTGCCAAGCCCTTCAATTAACTTATTTAACGATAAGTGTCATCAGAACAGTAACAATTTTTCTGTCTTTGTAATATTATCAGTATCACGTCTGTCTGAACATGTTTGCTTGATTACATGTGACAGCTTACGCATAAATCCCTTTCTCTAGCTTGAATGTTAGTTGCTTATATATATATATATGCTTGAATCTTACTACTGAATTCGACTCTTAACTCGCTTGTGTGTTCACTTGCTTGCTTGGTCTCTCGCACTGACGTTTCTGCTCGAATTCACGTTTTGCGCTTGCGGCTTGTTAATCTGAGTTGTACAGTAACAAACTGTAGTTGAAGCTTTGTATTTTCCTCTTAAATTTATAAACCGTTGGGAGATATCTAGTAACGGTTATCAGGACGAGTGATATACAAAGCCTTAGGAATTATCTCAAAAATAATCCACTACAAAATACTCGAAGCATTATGCAATCAAATTATAGTTTCAATTGTCCAATAGCCTTGTGTTATTTCTAATTGTTATTGACTACTTTTATTACCATTTGAACCTTAAGATGTAAGTGCACTCTATGTGCTCACTGAGTTAACTGTCCACATTTTCTCTTGTTCCTTTCTCTTCCAGATTCTTTCAATTACTGTTCCTTACACTCCCCCAACAAAGTACCTTCAGGCTAGACCAAAACCTGGTAAAGATTGAGCATTACAATTTATACCATTTAACTTTAGATGTATCATCTGATTAACTTGACAAGAAGTGGATATTAAAGCTTAAATTAAAGCCGGTTACCATAAATAACAGATCTACTAGCACTTCCAGCCAGTAATACTAATAACTTATAGCATACAATAAGTTACATCAAATCTATATACCTGTCTACCCAAACTTAGACAATTAGAGTAAAGGAAGGTGAATTTTAAATAAATCAGTGTTTTTCTTTATAAAAAAAGAAAACAGTTCAATACACAACCATTAGAATAGAAAAATGCACCACAGTAGCATAATACTATATATCTGTTAACAATTCATTTTGATTATATCAGAAACTGGAACAATAAATGCTGAACATCAGGAGAATTGAATTCAATTGATGAATTTGGTGAGATTATTGTTTAGTTTATCAATTACTATCAATAAGAAGAGAATATCCTAAGGAAATCTCTAAACTTTCATTCAAATCAATTTATTTGCATGATAAAACTAAACGTTACTAAAAACTAACTCTGTTAAATAAACATAATCTAAGTAAAGTTATGTAAAAGTAACAATTCGAGAGTTAGCTAAATTGTTAGATTTATGTTTTTCTACAAATATTTTTGATATAATAGTTGAATTAATGAATAAATATAAATAAATAATATATTTGCAATATCCCAATGAGTAGAAAATTAGATTTTCTGACGTTTCGTGGCTTAGTGTAAGCCACTTCTTCAGAGAATAAATAGCCAAATTAAACTTGGATTAGTTGTAATTTGGTTATTTATTCTCTGAAGAAGTGACTTACACTAAGCTACGAAACGTCAGAAAATTACAAATATATTATTTATTTATGCCAATCTACCCAATGCTCAATTTATTCGACATTATCAAATCAAACCTTGGTAATGATACATAATGAATAAATAGAAAAGATATATACATATAAATTTGTTGATTGATGATTTAATAGCTGAAATCCTAATATTGTGACTACAATTAATGATATAACTTAGGATCAAACATAATCTATGAATTTATTATATGAATATCATTTATAAAAATATTATGGTAAGTGAATAAAATAATTGTGATTTCATAGATTAAAATATCTTATAATTAACTAAAAGATTGAGTAAAGGATTAGAAATAAATATAGAGTATCATCTAGAATAATCATTATACAATACTTTGTATAAATGAAAATAGAACTCCCATTTGAGAAGTTACATGACTTTTACAGTAGAAACTAAAATATTTAACTTGTAAATGTTAAATATCAGTGGTTCCGTTTAATCAAATGATTATTTTTGCTACATTTAAACCACTTAAATTATTTGTTTAGCAAAATACATGATAATTCTATTTTATCCATAAACTAGTGTACTAGATAATTCACATAAGTCAGTAACTGTTAGCAGATGAATATGTTGTAGAATTAAAATAAATAGACATATGAGAGCGTTATCACTTTTATTATTATTGATATGCAATCAAAGAGTAACGGGGACTAAACTTTTCGCAATAAATATTTACAGCTCGTAATAGTATGCTATGTGTAAATTAGGTACACTAAAAATACTCAACAAAAATAACCTGGAAACTTGAGGACGCTGAAAAACCTTAGATAAACATTAGAAAATGCAAAAAACTGGAACTACTTTCCTTTTACAGAGTACTTGATGGTACTACTGCGTAGTAAGATCATTCGTAAAAAAACGGTGAAGAATTTTAGCCAACTTGCAAAAAAAGTCAGGGTGATGAGAATACTTTACAAATGAAGGTATGATAAAAAATAGATCTGTACATCAAGTCATTCTCTTAAGTTCTAAAATTTGTTTTCCAATTTATTTTATTATTTTGACGAGATTTCAGTCACGCATTTAGGAAACCGTATATGATTAGTTGAGGGACACTTCATTTGACTTGGAATGGAGCAAATTTTCTGGGGGTAAACTTTGCTGCAATAAATTATCGAGGAAACATGTTTGGTAATGACAAAAGAACCGTTCAGTGCTGTTGTTGATTCCTTTTAAGCTTAACGTCGTAAGTGAGTAGTCAACAAAGAGAAATATCAAACGGATACTTTTAATTACTGTTTGAGGAAGTCTCAAAAGATCAATTCGCCAAAGCGATTATTTACATTCAACAAACCTTCGTGTATACACAGTGATTGTTAAACGATAAAATACGGAAATAGTAAACTAACGTGTATTCTATTACTTACATGGATAACCACAGGAATGAATATCTGGACAATTGGACGTCTCATGGTGAAAAGTTTCATTTAATGGAGGTACATGAGCTGATGTTTGTTCGAATTCTATCTAAAACATCATAATAGTTAACATTTAGAAGATGCATTAAACTGGTAGTGTACAGAACGTTTCAACTTACAGCATTGGTAAGCCCAAGTGAATGTAGTTCAGGGAGAATAAAGTCGGGATAACGTGCAGGTGTTAGTTCTTGATTTCGTATTGTTCTGAAATTATTGCCACATTCTGAAAGTCTGGATATGCGATTTTCATTAGTCAATTCAGAAATATCAGCCCAAATACTATTCATATTAAGTTCACTTGAATTTTGACTAATTCCTCTAGAAAACGTCCACCAGTACCAACGTGTTGCTGTATTAAGTACTAATTTAAAAACACGAATGTCATTGTTCTGAAATAAAAAAAAATTACAAATGATATGTAAAAGCAGTTAGATAAAATATTCTAATAATCTAATAATATTTTTTGATCTAACTGTATCTGGTTTTTTGAGTGAACTTTTAATATGGTACGAAGGAGTTCAACACTGGATGTAGCCCTACTAGGGTTACTCCAAACATAAAGGAGGAGGGTTGGGCATAGGGTTGGCAACCTCATGCTGTAGAACACGACATAGCTAAATAAGCGCTAACCAGAATAAAATAAATAAAACCATCTAAATTCCACCCTACAATTTGAAGGATCTTCTTTCGGAAAAATAATGAAGATTTCTGGTGAAAGCCAATATTCTTCGGAAGTTACGAGGTCGATGCCACTTCTAACAATCACAGTAATAATTGACATAGGTACAATGAATGTTGGGACGATTTGGGAGACCGGGAACACCAACCAAATAGCTACGAAAATGAGGAGGTACAATTCGGCAGTACTCGGAAAAAGCGAAACCCATTGGAACGATGTTGGACAAAAAGGATAGATACAAGACAAATGCTGCTGTACTCCGGTCACGAAAAAGAAAATGCTCCGCACACTCAGCGAGTTGCTCTGATACTGTTCAAAGAAGCATGAAAAGCACTTATAGGATGGGAAACTAATGGATCCAGCATCATCAAGGCATCATTCAAAACAAAGGAGGAAATCACAATGGATGTTATCCAATGTTATGCACCCACCAATGATAGCAACGACAACAATAAAGATCAGTTATATGAGAGGTTGCAGCGATCATAGAGAAGTGCCTAAGAAAGGATCTCACCATCCTGATGGGAGATCTAAACACCAAAGTCGGAACGAACAACAACGGATATGAAGATATCATGGAATGACAGCGACTGACTGGGAGAAAGAAACGAGAACGGTGACAGATTTGCAAATCTATGTACATTCACCAATTTGTCTATGGACAGCATGATATCCCCATATAAAGCTACATGGATCTCATAGAATCACAGCAAAGAGAACCAAATCGATCATATTCGCATCAGTAAAAAATTGACAAGATCAATGTCAGACGTGAGAATCAGGAGAGCAACCAATATAGCTTCAGATTACCATCTGCCTGGTGGTTGTCAAGATGAAACTGAAGATAAAGAAGCATTGGATGACTGAACAAACAGCCTTACAAAGGTTCACTATAGTCTTCCTTTGACGCACTGACAAACTCAACCAATTCAAGATAACTCTCAACAACAGGTTCCAAGCTTTACAAGTTCTACTCAAAGAAGAAGAAATCACGATAGAGGACAACTGAAAAAGGGATCAAAGAAGCAAGTGGAGAGGAGCATTAAAGTCGACAAGTAGAAATACGTGGAAGAACTAGCAACAGCGTCGGAAAAAAATGCAAAAGAAGGAAATATGAAACTATGATACAACGAAGAAACTAGCAGAGAAATATAGTAAAGCAGAGACCAGTCAAGGACAAAGAAGGCGAACCAATCAATGAGATTTAAGAACAGAATAACAGGTGGGTAGAACACTTTGAAGAACTCTTGAATAGACCAAACTCACTGAACCCATCGGACATTGAGGCAGCATATACAGATCTCCAGATAAAAGACCTCGAACAGATACCAAAGAAGGATGTCAGCAAGTGTGAGAACTACAGGGGCATCACACTATCGTTAGTGCTACGAAAAGTTCTCAACAAAGTGTTGCTGAACCGGATAAAGGTTTCAACAAAATCCCAGCTTCGAGATCAACAGACTAGTAGTGAACAGACCAAATCACGACACTACGGATCACCGTTGAACAATCAATTGAATGGAAATCGTCACTATACATCAACTTCCTTGATTATGAGAAAGCATTTGACAGTGTGGAGAAGAGAACATTATGGAAACTTCTTCGACACTATGGAGTAGCTCAGAAATTCGTCAACATCATACGACTGACTACACTGCAAAGTGGTGCATAGAAGGCAGCTGATAGGCGCATTCCAAGTGAGGACCAGAGAAAGACAAGGCTGCCTACTCTCTTCCTTTCTCTTTCTCCTGGTGGTTGACTGGATTATGAAGGCCCCTACATCTGACGGGAATCACGGAATATAATGGACAAGTTGGATGCAGCTAGACGATTTGGACTTCACAGGTGACCTAGCTCTTCTATCCCATATACACCAACAAATACAGGTCAAGATAACCAGTGTAGAAGAAGTCTCTGAAGCAGGAGGCCTCAACATACACAAGGGCTAAAGCAACATCCTCAAATACAACACGAAGAACACCAACCCAGTCATGCTTGATGGAGAAACTCTGAAAGAGGAGGAACGTTCCACGTACCTGGACAGCACCACCAATGAACAAGGAGGATCTGATGCAAATGTAAAGCGGGGATCGGAAAAGCAAGGGCCTAATTCATACAGTTGAAGAACATATGGAACTCAGAACAACTGCCTGCAAGCAAATATAAAATTCAGGATCGTCAATGCGAACGTCAAGACAGTTCTAATGTATCGAGGTGAAACTTGGAGAACCACCACAACCATCATCAAAAAGGTACAAGTATTTATCAACAGTTGTTTACGCAAGATACTCAATGTCCCTTGACAGGATACTATCAGCAACATCCTACTGTGAGAGAACAAACCATTTTTTAGCTGAAGAGGAAATTCAGAGAAGACGCTGGAAGTAGATAGGAAATTCATTGCAGAAATCATCAAACTGCATCCCGAGATAAGCGTTAAATTGAAATGCTGAAGGGAAACGAAAAAGAGGAAGTCCAAGGACACACTGAGTCAGGATTCGAAAGCAGACAGTTAAAGTATGAGTAGCAACTGAAAAATATTGTTCAGGAAGGAGTTCGGTGAAGAATGCTGATAAGCGGCCAATGCTTCTGCACGAGGAGTAACAGGCGTAAGTAAGGAGTTCAGAAAGATGGATAAATGCAAACAATTGACAATACATGTAAATCTACACGATCTATTTATGAAAGACCACAAGAAGAAATAATTACAATATCAAAGACATAAATTAAGAGTGTCGATTGTTGGTTTAAACGGTTAGAGAGAACAAAGAGATGAAAGAAAAAAGGTAAATTGAAGCGTATTTATCCATACAACTGTGTAAACAACAATAAAATGAGGTTAGAATGAGATGAAATAATGCGGTATCTAACCATTAGGCTAATACGAAATGAACACGCCACGTTTCATGCAGATCTTAAACTTCTCTTTCTGTTATCCAAAAGATCGTGATTTTTCATTCGGAAATAAGTAACTAACTACTCACTACACTAACCATATGTATACTTTCGGAAATTTCGAAGCGTCTAGTTTAGGACCGAGTGCTAATATGAAGGGGAAGCACCCACGAAAAACCAAGTTAGGAAGTATTATACCATTGAGAATTATTTAGTAATCGTAGTAATTACAATTCCATTGAAAAGATTGAGCTCAGTCTAACGTGAATACATTCCAATGATGTAAATTAGAATAAAAATTAAATAAGCGAAACTTTTAAAAACATACCCAAAATTTTGAACAGTACTTCATATGCCTTTCATGACGTTTATTCAAAGCCACAGTAATCCATAGTCTTAGAGCGTCGACAGTTTTGTGCTCATAAAACCGTTGGGTAGCGGTTTTTCGTCTATTTCTTTTATAATTTTGTTTTCCAATCCATAAATGCCAAGCCTTCCATACTTTTGCTTGTAAGCATAAAGACCATCGCACAAGAGCTATGGATTTCAAAGCTTGAAATTTACTATTTTCAATTAGTTTCAAATGCCATTGGCTTAAGAAGTGCTTCTGAAAATAACAAAGATGGTTTTGATGCATCAAACAATGATAATAAGAGATGAAAAGTTAGAAGTAATTCAAAGTTATTAGCTTTCAGTAGTATACTTACTTACTTACGCAACACAGGCCGCTGACCAGCATTCTCCAACCCACTTTGTCCTTCCTTTCTAGTAGTAGTAATAGTATACCATACAAATATTGAAACTTCTGAAGAGGTTCCCGAATTTATACCAGGGAACACTGAACAACTGTTTCGTCTTAAAGTGTGGTTATCCATTTTATTTAAACGTTTCTCCAAATGATGTCAGTTTGTAAAGCAAATGATATTTGAGCTACCAAACCTCCATATATAATAGAGACCAAGTACCTAAGCAACCTTTATCCTGCTAACTACTTGTTCTTATAACAGGTTATTGATCAGGTCGAAGAATGTACAAAAATAAGAAATCAACAAAAAGATAAAGGCAATCAATCTTTTTGAGTAGTATTTCACAAACCTATATTTTCTCCTTGAATCATAACTTTCCACGCCCAGTCTATCCTACTACTACTCATACTGTTACTAATTTACTACTCTTGAGTCTCGTTAAGCTGATATGATGTGGCAACTTCAATAGATGGACATACATACCAAGTTCTATGTCGCTTATGGCTGACTGAATCAATTACACTGACGTATAATAATTATCTTCCATGATAAATTTAAGAAATAGATAGCTCAAATATTTATTTGTTCAATGATACCTCAATTCGTTAAAAAGTTATTTAACTTACCTGAATTGTTCGAATTCGAAAGTCATTAGCTGTTTTAAATAATTTGATTTTATGTTTCTTGATAGTAATAAAAGCAGACCAGCAATTGAGACACTGAACAAGTATATGTTTATCATAAAGTCTGCATGCAAGTTTAGCGTTTGAACAATAGTTATACACAGATCTCCAGTGTCTCCACCAAATTCGTATAGTAACAATTCGCATATTCTCTAAACTTATTTTAAAAGTAAGCTGCATTTTCAAAAGGTATTCTGGACGACTAGACGTCCATTGTAACCATGCAAGAAACAACTGTGGAAAAAATGAGGTTATTCAACATACGGCAAATGTATCTTTGCATATAATCGAACACAAACATCAATCAATGAAACAGTGTTAGAACGGTTAGATTCATCTAACATCTAGAAAAATCCTTCTCCTGAGCTGGTATTTTGGCAGCTAAGTCGAATCACTTATACATATCAATGTAGTAGCTTAAAATTGATAGCCGAAATTTCTAAGACTCGATTATTAAACAAAAAGTATCATAGAAATCAAACATTGATTTATCTAAATAATTGAATCTATATTGTTTTTGCATAAATAGCCCGATGTTAAACAGTAACATAAAGTATAATTTACATTTCTCAAAGTTTAATTCTACTAAATGATAACCTTTTATCAATAAAAACCTAAAATTCTATGCAGAAATCTACGGTAGTAAGGTAGTGTTGTTTATATTTTCGATAGTGACTAGCAATGTGAGATACACGGTGGCACATTTCATTTCACTCGGGACTCGTTTTCTGGATGTACCTGAAATCCAAGTATCATTGATTGCAATTAAATCTAATAACAGCTTTAACCAATCCTATTTTCAAAGTATAATTCATAAGGCTACTATTGTTGTAAGAGACAATTTAACTAGGAGGCAGAAACTTTCGAAGCTATTTTTCCACGATTTTATTTATATATATTGACTACATGTCAATTAAGTAGTTTAGTTCTATTATTTTCGTATTACCCTAGTCTCAAGCATTTATTAGAATCGTAAATTGTTGATATAGCATTTTCAACTCATGAACTAGAACAGATTATTTGTGTACCCAGTATTTCATTTTTCTTACCATTAATGTTGTTGTTCCGAGTTAATAGTATTACTCATTTGGTCTGCTCCGTGGTCTAGTCCTGTATGTATATAAATGAACATCTGGAATATACTAACCATCTTGGATTGGCGATCATTGGTCCATTCAAATAAGGATGATGGTGTACAGAACAAAGTTTAAGAAGACTATAAAGAAATTCATTGGATTTGCTGTTCATTGTTTATTCATAAGATGAGTAAGATAGGTTAAGTACGAACATGAACTAAGATACATTATGTTTAAATTCGGATGTGCTGGTGAAAGACATAATTAGCTAATGAAGAAAGATAAGCACATCCTAGTTACATTAAATATATAGGACTATAAAATGTCGTAAATTCCTTAACTGTTAGTTTCTACTCGGATTTTCACTGTGTTGATTCATTGTGATTTATATTAATGAGCTACCGTTTAATCTAATCTGGTTCTTAATATTTGATCAGACTTGCGTATCTGAGTTTATGTGGTCAAGTAAAGTGATCTATTTCTAGTGTTTCGAATCTACAAGTTGTAAAATCTTGTTGTAAAAAGTATTTAGTGTCTCAGAGCAAGAACAAATTCCTATTAGTTTCCGTTATATCATATTTGGTACATAAATCCAAAGTATTTCATTGAATTTGTTTTCTAGAAAATGATAACTAATCATTATTTTTGATGACACCTGAATATTTCCCAACTATCAAGTATTTACAGAACACCTATTGTAATAGGACATCATCAAGGTGAATATATTCACTTAGGTCATCCTCATCATTCAACAAATATCTTCTAGCTGAAAGTAAGTAAAAATGGAAAACAATCGTATAGTTCTTACGAGCTATCAGTAAAGATTGCTTGAAAATACAACTGAAGAAACTTTGATAATTATATAAATTTAAGAATGTTAGGTAAAGGGAAAAAAAAGATTTTTACGTGAACAAAAACACCGAAAATTTTAGTAATTTCGATATCATTTCAAAATTGCTGTTGGTTGAACAATTCACAAGGATAGGAAAACTTTACAAGTCAAACGACTGCTAGTATTGGTATTTCTAAATGAAAGCTATTAGCAAATTTGACTGACCCGAAATCAAAGAATGTCAAGTGTATTTGCATAATAATAAAGTAATGAATATTTCAGTATTTATATGACTATTAGGCATAAATTTTATGATGAGTGATTACAAATTTAAACAATATCCAGTTTATAAGCAAAGATGGATAGTGGCTAGCAGTGAAATCCAGGACGCGCGTTTCGTCTTGTTTGGGACTCGTCAGCTGGATGTACCTGCATCTCAAAGTTGATGTTCACTCTGGGACTCGAAGGCATACGCACAGTATGCACATATGCCAATAAAAGACTGATTAATTTCAGTCCTAAAACATCAATGGGAAGATTCAAGTAAAACAATACCAAGTGAATATCCAGTTCAATTTTAAATATCAAGATGAAGATTTGAAAATAATAGCTCAGGGTTTTACGTTAAGATGTACTATAAGCTTTAAATAACATGAGCATGTCTATTTTAAGTACACATTTCGTGAACTGGAGACATTTGCAATGGTGTTTCCACACAAAATGTGAATCTGACATGGAATACAAAGTAAAACCATGAAAAAGAGTTCTTTATAATGGAGTAAATATATAGCATCGTAAAATGAAATTTACGATTGGTTATTAAGTATAAAGTGTTAAGTGAAAGCTGACAGTTAATGTACACATTGAGTGGTTTGCGGCTATTTCCATTTAGTATCATACCATATTTGCGCAAGCTAAACCATTTACATACATATTCCTTCGATTTTCAATGTTCATTGCGTTATCATGAAATCTTTATAACTCTATTAATTTCTTTTGAAGATAGAAAAGCATTGAAGTTCACTTTAAACACTGACTTACCCTTTTTATGCTTTCCATAAATTTATGTTTTCTAAAACTCCGGATTGTTATTTCTTGTGACTGTTTAGAGAGAAGATTACTCAACCAATATTGAAAATATTCCTTGAGTAGTTTATTTTTCTGACACTTTTTAAAATGAGATAATTTCAACAATAATAGTTGTTTGGTAGTACAATAATCTTTCCATTTCAGTAAACACTGTTTGATTAATGATGTATTATGTTTCATCTTGAAATGAAGAGATTATTATTTTTAGTATTAATGTTCTTACAATTAAAGTATAATTTACTAAATAACCAATAGAAATAGTAATAATCTAAACAATTCTAACAGAATGCTACTAGTTTTGCATAAAATCTTTGAGCATAACTCAAACTGAAAGTTAAATCTCCAAGGTTTCATCTCTGTAGAATACGAATCACCTGGAATTGGCTTATGATCACATCACCAGATATTAGCAAGTTTTAATATAATGCTCAAGATGTTAGGTGTTTGGATGCAGTTAGCTAAAAGCTCAAATTTTCAGTTTTTTTAATATTGATCCCGCTATGACGCGTATGACTGATATATTTATGGTGGTTGATCACTAATCAGTGATATCAGAGATCTGATAACTTGAAGTAATATGACAACAGAATTTTAGTTAGCAAACTATTAGCAAGGCTACAATACAGTAACCTATCAATAATAAGGCTCAAAGAACAGCTAATTTTCCATAGTTCGTAAAACTTACACTCATGGATTGAACACTACTGCGATGATCAACAGCCACAAAATGATAATTCATCCAAGCAACAAAGTACTTTTTTATTTGATTTATTTTATAAAATCGAATAACAAATTTTATTTGTTTGTGTTTTTTTCTCTTATATAATGCATAATTTCTCCATAACAAAAAGCACCGACGACGTACTAAAATAGAATGTAAATTACAAGCAGAAAAATACATTTGACGTTCTATAATTGATACTTTGCTTCGATATGACCAAATTTTTAGGAGCGTCTTCAAAATTCTATACCTACAGGAAAGGAGAATCAAGATCAGATGATTACGATTTATATTTATTTGTTTCGTAATAACTCGAGCATTCAACTCGACATAGTGGAAAAATTTAAATCAAAGAATATACTATTTAATTTCCCACATTGTTAGGTTTGAAGCTTCATGAGTTCACTTAATCTGCGAACGAGAACATGACTCAGTGACCAAAGACCAGTAATCTAGCTATTGATGCGTTCCAGCCCCGCTACCTAGAAGGAGAAGTCCAAGCTTGGCATGGAAAATATATTCTGCAAACAGCTAGAAAACGAGCGAGCCCACAAACACAATTTAAAACGTATATATACAAATATATATAATCGATATTGTCATGGGAAATTTTAAACATTAATCAATGAGTTCATCAATTGACTGCTATTTAATCATTTAATCGATAAGTTAATCGATATGATAAAATTACAAATATGAGTTTTGAGGATATATCGTCCCCAACACACATTGAAAATAATGTTCAAGACAACATTATAACAGACTTCATCAACTGAAGATACATCAAAAGCCAGGAAACATCAAATAGATTTTTAGTTTAAGCTCTATACTTTTCAGAAGTCTGAATTTTTTTATCATGTATAAAGTCGAAATACAATCCTTCAGATTAACAATTAGTGCCATGTGTAACTGGAATATAAATCTGATATCATCAAATGAGTACATCATGTTGACTGATTTCCTATTTATTGAATGTTTATAACTTATTGAAAATAAAAATTACCGGTGTTCATTGTATTTATCTGATTTATAAGTAAATTTAGTTGATTCTACCTATATTTCAACACACTTAAAAATAAGATCAGGAAAGACATCGAATATGGATTAAATTAATTACCTAGTTTTACCTTTATTTTTTAGCCAATTACAATCATGAGCAAAGACGGATAGTGGCTAGCAGTGGAATCCAGGACGCGCATTTCGTCTTATTTGGAACTCGTCAGCTTGATATACCAGCATCCTAGAGTTGATGTTCACTCCGAGACTCGAACCCAGTACAGTGCGCGTCAAACGCCATCGCACTATCCACTTAGTTACGGATTCCTGATAGCCACCTTCTTGTGCAATGGGGTGAAGTTTAAATTCACATGGTGTTGTTTGCTTGTATTTTCCTATTGTTGTTTAGGACTGCAATTGATCAGGGGGCCACATCCGTAGCCTCTGACCTAGAGGTTTAATCCACAAGGCAGCGGAGCAACGTTAGGAGATGCAGTCCCATGGTAGACGGCAATTGACAATTGGTTCATACTCCATTTGTTTTCTCAGGATCCTGGGGCCCATGTGTACCATCGGTTCAGGATAAAGGTTCTTTAACCCCTAGATGGACCCTCCGTGTCCATCAACCCGGTTAAAGCACCGGATATTCGCTTTTCATTTTCTCGATTTTCTAAACAACATCCCCAACGCAAGAAGGCAGTGAGTAGGACTTCTCCGTCAGTGGCTATGTACGCGTGGCCATGTGAGAGCATTTTAAGGGGGAGAACGGACTCTCCTCACCCTCGGTTGTACCAGAGCATTGAGGGGGCATTATGGAATAATCCATATTGTTTTCTTGATTTCATTCAAAGGAATATATGTGTTTATGCTCCACTCTGTCTGTTAAAAGAATAAAATATCAGTAAAGGGTTGTGGAGCCGAGACACGTCAGTTTTTAACTTCCAACTTCAACTAATCCACGATAGTGCGCAACCATCCTCCACTGTCTTCAGTGGTCAATTGAATCACATCCGACGCGGTTGGTTGAAGTTAAACATCAACACCAATAGATCGCGGCTCAGTGGTCCAGAGGTTAAGTGTTTGCACGAAACAGAGGGTCTTGGATTTGAGTCCCGAGTGTGGGATCGTGGATGTACAGTTGAAGTTAAACAATAAAGATTTTCTACACTTCATATGTTTAGCAGTACATACTTTATTCGTCCTTAATGATATTGGGTTTAGAATACTTTTATGAGTTATATAACACCTTTTAATAAATATACTATCAGGGCATTTACAGTATAATTAAGAAGTAAATCGATGTTAAAAAGAGTGAAGATTTCTGAAGCTTTGACTACTTCTTAAAGTATTTATTAAAACAGTAGACAGGCGACTAGATTAACTCATGGTAGATAAACCATAAATAGTAGTTATGATTTGAAAATATTACTGACCAGCATTTGATGACTAATCTGTGCACAAATTGGTATTATTAAATCACTTAAACTTTTGCAGATATTCCCTTATTTCATCTGAGTCATAAAAATGAACAATAAAAAGCTAAATTTTAAACTCAACTAACAAGGAAATAAACACGCGAGAAGTACTGTCACGATGAATTATTGTTATAAGTTTGATATTGTAGAGATTGAAAAGTACCATAGAGCAACACATTTCCATATAAATAACACTGATAAAATACTTTGTAACTGAGCTTACCTATTATGTTTATTTGAAATTTGGATATCTAAAATTTGGTGATACCATTCTTGAATTACTGACACCATGATAGCTTTGTTCAATTTATTGTGAAGAAACTTTAGTGCGGTTCTACGTAATATTCTTTTTTGTTTCCAAAACTGATGTTTTAACATCCAAACAAATAAAGCTTTACGCAAAATATGCCGACGATCGTGAGCTCTTGCTGCAGCAAAAAGGGATTTTTCAACAGCAGATTTCCCAGTTAGAAAATATTTCGTTTTCCAACATGTCATGTGGCTTTGCAATGCCTTGATTTATTAAAAGTGGAATTATAAATTATTTGGTAATCGTATAAAAAGACATTCAGTCAAAAAGCAAACTGATTATTTTAAGAACTAGACAGAACATAAATTCATGTCCTAGAAGACAAATGTCATACAATCAATATGACGAAGTGCGTTTGTAACTGTCTTCAAAAAAGTAATGGTCATCGTCATGAATGTAGATCCAACTACTCAGTTATGCAAATGACTGGAATAAAACCCACGATATTATTATATCTATTCCGGTAATTGATGCTTGGACTCTAAGTAACACCCATACGATTCGACAAGCTTAACTTTTTGCTAGTTTTTTCACAGTACCGGAAATAAGGTTGTTTACTCACCTGAAGACGATAATTAGCATTTGCCATACGTTTTGACTTGTTTCTTCTCCGTCTTTTTTGTACGTAAGATACCCAAATAAAAAGTGAGCGCGACTGAAAGATAAAACGTCAATATTGAGTAAGCGTCCGCACGTCTTATTCGGAAGACAAAAATGAACTTACACAATTACCTTTATATTCATGTTATGATGATCTGTAGCCTTTTTGTTTGCAAATTTTAGCGAGATTCGAAAGTCGAATTCTAAATGATTTACCAAGTTAATTCTGTTAAGACAGCTTAGCTCATATGAACCATTGACGTCAGCGTCATGACAAAATACACCCTTCAGGTAAAAATGTATCACGGACTAAAAGTTATCGCAGGTAGTTTCATTGACTTTAAAAGTGGGAATAGAATATAAACTCCAAGATGACATCACGTATGAGTTAAGTATAAAGTACTTCATCAATCGAACAATCCATTAAAAAGTAATGTACGTTTCAATCGCCACACAACATACTGTAATTGGTCAGGATAGGTTTTGTAATAAATGAAGCTTATGCAAACAGCTTAATTGTTTAAATTTTAGTAAATGGAACAAATTTATACCTCGTTATCAATTTTCTGAAAATCATATCTAGGAGAACGAATTACTATTTCGATGGCAATTACTTTACATGGTAAAAAGGATACCGTATTTCCAGAAGAGTAAAGATGATTTGAGAAGATTATGGTCACGCAAAATACGTGCAGATTTATAATCTGTAGCTAAACGTAGCCAGGAACCAAAGTAAATGCGCATTCGAGAACGTATCACTAACGTAAAGCAGTAACCTAGAAAAAAAGGAATAATATAAACAACATTTCTGTGCTCAAATAGAATGTATATGATGTAAGTTCTGCATACAACCATAACATCATTCAAGTTGCATTCATTCTATATCAACCCTTAGATCCAAAGTTTCAAAATCACTTTATAATATTTCTTTTACTTTTAGGAATAAATTATTTCTTCTTGTATTAAATTTCCTGTTTTTAATCTTTTCTTCTGCCACTGACGCTGTTATTGGTTTTACTAATCAGGGACTTGTCTTCACAATTTCATCTCACTGTACTAGTATGGTTTAACAACTTGAGTCGATGCCCATTTATGCAAGATTGTACTTTCCGGCTGACTGATCTAAAAATTTGAACTCTATTGAACTTTAACTTCAAATAATGGTCAATTTTAGGCGATTCGTTCAGAACAGAAGCATTTTTTATAGTAAGATAAAGGTTGCTTGATGCCAAAATCCTTGTCTCATTTAATATCATGCAAATTTAGTAATTGACACTTTTTCACATGGTGATTTACTTTTACCTTCGGATAAATGAATTATCACAATCTTTCCATTTATTTTGTCCACATATTTGACCCTGTCATTTACCGTTAACATGCTGTATACGTTTGTATGATGGTATGCCTATCTACGTCCTGTATTTCTTACGTATCTTATAAGAACTGAGTCACCTTATTAGTCTTTTAGTCAGTGTATTACCAAATTCAGATACTGTATAGGATCGCCACATCTTTTGTTTCCTTGTCTGGCGTTTAATATTAACCTGTCAAAAATATACCTATCCTAAACACAACTTGTATCTGACTTTTGACATACCGTTAAGCTGACAGAACAAACACGATGTAAGCAATATCTAGACTTCGTCTGCAGCACTACAGATTCTATCACAGAGGAGTCGGACAATAAGCGCTAAAATGAAATATTGAAGCTATTTATTTCAATCTTGGGCTATTATATATTAAAACAGGCCCTATATTTAGATGAGTGAGTGTGAAGTATGTTGAAAAAGACAACTTTGCGAAAAGCTCATAACGAATAAACACACAGTTTTAAAGTAATGTAAATATATGAAAACATAACCGAAGAGCCCGAATAATAAATTGTTATTAAGACTTTTAGAATTTCGTTTCATGGTTTGCCCCTAAATAAATCTATAGTTCAATGTAAACCATATGTAAACCGGGTTCTAAAGAATGTATGAAACATATATTTCTTTGCATTGAAAACCTAACAAAAAACCAATACTTTAAACCAGAATGATATGAAAGTCTCACACAAACGAATTAACGATGGTGTCTGACTAGTGTATGATAAGCACTTCATAAGATCTTATTTTATGTACAAGATTTAGTCCAGACTAAGTGTGTATAAAAACTACTATCAGAGTCATGCCGTAACTTCAGATATTGAAAAAGTATCTTAGCATACGTCTAATAGTCCTAAAAACTCAAGACGGTAATCAATGAAGTTTAAGGTCTTAGAAATAATCAACAAGGAACTACTTTAAACTCAGTCCGAGAACCACATTTCAACTGGTGAATTTTATATAATGGTTTCTGTAAGAAAAATATGAAATGTTCAAGACAATAGAGGCATTCTGGGAAATACAGTTTGTTACTAATAGCTATTTTTTAGAGGTGGGTACGTGCAGCCTCACTAAAGAGCACACGGAAAGCAAACGTAATAACACTTATGTAAGAATAATAACATGTTTGAATCCCATATAGCCCCCCGAGCTCCCAATTTCGGGGAAGATGGTGTAGTAAACTTTGGGGAAATTTTGAAGAAACAGCACCGAAACCCCAAAATTTCCCTTCAACCTTGGTGAAAATCATTTGACTTTGTGGGTTTCTCCAGAACTTCCTCAAGCTTTGGAGATTTGGCCGTTCGTGAGTTAACCTACTAATCTTCGTTTAAACCAAGAAGTGGAGTAGAACAGCATCATAAACATATCCGTTTTAAGTACATGTGCATCTATAAGGACTGTTGAAAGTAAGACTCACTTCGAGATTTACGGAATCTACATATTTGACACAATCTCACACAACTTATCTGTCCAACCCAATCACCCAAGTTTGGGGAAATTATGGGGAAGCCAACTAAGTCCAATAACCTTCACCAAGGTTAAGGGGAAATTTTTTGGTTTTGGTGCTATTTCCCTAAAAATTTCCCAAAGTTTACTATAGCGGCTTCCCCGAAATTTTACAAAAATGGGTCAAATTTTCCCCTAAATTGGGAGCTCGGGGCAAAATGATGCATGAAACTGAACTTACGTTCTTCACAACTTAACGTCCCCGACAAGCCACCTGAATATATAACCGACTGTGTGTAGTTGTTGTTTTTTCCGGCGGAGATTTCACTGTCTAGATTGTCATAAGTGTATGAGCTCATGTGTTTATAATCACAAGCCACATTTTCCGACACATCGAAGAGTTGAGACTTCAAATTACGACAATCGATCCTAGTGACACTACCCACAGAATTCCTTTTATTAATGGTTTGTAAAATATCCCTCTTAACTTTAGAGATATAAGCTCCGAAGTTATTCGGAAATTCCTTGTTAGAATTCATTGTGCTTTTATAGTAGAGGTCGGCTCATAGTGATAGTTAAAAAGCTTCTCGAACGATACTTGATATGTAGCGACTCGCGTCTAGCTCGAAGGTACTCTGTGCACTAAAGTCATCATAATATCGTTGTCCTCGTTACAAAAGACGCCCAACTGAATAACCGCCAGTGAAACTACAGAATATTTAATAATATTCAATATCTGAAAGAAGGGCTTATATTGAGCAGTTGTTCATCATGTCAACCCTCCTTAATGTTGAAGAAAGATTACAGTACATGAGCAACTCTGTGTATCAACAGTTAAGTCTATTGACTGAGCTGGTGGTTAAAAGAATGTCTGTTAATTTCCAACACTGCTTAATTTCTGTATGCTTGAAAGTCATGTTTTGCTGCTACGTATATGCTGGTTTGCCGATTTATACTGGCTGTTCTACTCTAAAAGTTACGATTTTCTGCAATTTGTCTTCTTTCTATGTTGGCTGTCAGGTGTTTGTGTTATTTCATTTGGCGATATCGATTACAACACATAATGTTAATCATAAACGATATCAGTAGCAACATAAGCAGTACCTTCAAACACTCACAGGGCTAACGGACCAAAGAAAAGAGGCGAACATCACACAGACAAAAGCGGATGTCATGTAGAAAATAGAATCCCTAAAAAAGGAATTGTAGTTACCATTTCCAGCAAAATGTCAGGGTTCCTAACGAAATCTTAGTCCCTTTGTAATACTTTTAGTGTTTTCATTAAGTTTTACTCCTGTACATCGCTAGGTATATCTGATCTGTAGGTTTTATTTTATTTCAAGATAGGTATTGTCCATTTTTCATTGGTTTATTTTCCGAGTAAACAAACAAAATGTGAACGCAAAGTAACTTGTATGATATACAATGCCTAAACTTATTGGGGTGGTTCACTGTTCTTGAAGTTGTAAATAAAAGTGTCGAAGACTATACTGAAAATTTACAAATAACTTTGTTACTGTAGAGGTAAATAAATCCCCAAAACAAATAGCTCTGTAAGTTTTCGACATTGAATACTGACCAGATTAGTTTTAGTGGACTCACCTAGCTGAAGGCGCTCAGTCATGCATCCGCACCAGATCACGTGTGGGAACGCCGTGCTCAACTGCTACTGCAATCGCTAGCCAGATTAAATCAGATGATTCCGATATATTGACAATCGTCAAATACAATTTCTGATTTCCTCGATTCCGTCTTTTGATTTCTCTTGGTGGGTACGAGTTAGATTAGAATGTTTTACTCGTAAAAACGTTGTCAAACACTGAACACCTGTGCCATCTTCATTACACTTAACGTATCATGTGGTAATTCGTACTTATTTACACCGTTTTGTTAATTCGGACCATACTTTTATTCAGAAGCTTGAAGTCTAACGTCAATTTAATTCTAAGCTTTCTTTCCCACAGAGTTCAAATCCTATGTGCGACGTCGGGAGGGATAGTCAGTAGTAAATTACAGGTAAAATGCCATTGTATACCTTTCTCTTTGACTACACCAGATAGGCGTGAGTTGGAAAATTATAAGTAGCGGTATCCGGCCTACATTTATTTTGTAACGAATGAAAGAAGTTGAGAATAAAGCCTATCAATTTTGGTATTTCGGGTGCTTTGGTAAAGATATATTTTGGAAAGTATTGTCTGTGCGAGTTATGCACCTTAAAGTCAGTCACTGATATGAGTTCGGTAAATACGTTCTTGCAACTATGAGTATTATCTTAAAAGAAGTGTCTCCAATACATAGCCAGCTGCGTTTCTGTGTGTTGAAGCACCTAGAAATGTTGGCATTGACTGTGGGAGACAATGAACACATCACATTACTTTGCTCAACACCATTAGTTATTAGTCAAGGTGTAAGCACTGCATAATTGATCTTAATCATTTGGCAACTATTCGTCAGAAGGGATTTAACTGATACTGACAGAGTGATTCAGATTAAAGGAAGTCCTTTGACCAATACTTTACCAGTTTTCTTGGTATCGAAATCCAATGTGACCATCACTTACTTTTGGTTACGTACTGGAGAAACGTGGATAAGAAACTTTTTCACACCTAAAGGTCTGAACGTGAAGTAAATAATAACGAAGCCAAAGTTCATTGTCCTTGGAATATTCTTGCTGTTGTGGTTGACGCCATTTTCCAGGACATGAGATATATTTGTCATGTTGAAAAACCATTCAGTCAATGGTTTAAAGGTGAATTGTTGATAATCGTTTAACATTCCTCCATGCTAAACGAAATGGATTGTGTTATGTAGACTCTTTTCTGAGCGCTTTTCTAGCAGACGTCAGAGACCTTGGGATTTAAATGTTTAGTAAGCTCTTTTTATTCCTCTACTTGCCGATAGTCTTAATACTGACTTTTAACACATCCAAGTAGGGGTTCTGTTTCATCCAGGAGGCCGATGTCTTTTGATATAAAGTACCTTGTTTGTAATTCTCGTCCCTTGGCCCTGGATTTCAGTTGGTTTAAGAGCTTATGGTAGCAGTGTCTGATATGTTTAGTCAATCAAAACTAGTCAAATTAGAGTATCAGTCGATGGCCATCAGAAGTGACTTGAAGGACAAGTGCAGATTATTGGCTAGGAAATGTAATAATTTTCTATGGGATAAAGAGATATTTATATCAGTGAGTATTTGTGTATTATGTTCAATAGCCAAATATGATTTCTCGTCCAATCTTGTGTTCTATGAACTGTGAGGCTTACGTGTATCACATCGTGTGCCAATGTCAGATTGCGGATGCCATCCGGCACTACAGTGTCTGGTGTGGATTTACTGGGGATATCGAGTGTATCTAGTGTTTCTATAAGTTTGTCACTAATGAAGAATTTACCACAGTTGGAGGACATAACTACGGTCCGAACGCTTCACTGGTCAGAATGAAGTGTTTTGGGCATGCTCATTCTTCGTACCTTAAGGGTTCACTCTTTAAAGCTTGTTAGTGTTGTGAGCGGGCGCGATGGTAGTCAGATTTTATTGTTCTGTCTTATTCCATGTGAGGAATATAGCAGAATCCATTGACATGAAGACACCATAATGCATATCTGTATTGTTAATAATGATGGATTTGAAAGTCGTTTAAGTGATGTAACTCAAAAGTGGTCCGTTTATACTAAACTTAATTGACCGACGAGATCATTGATCAGAAATGGTACTTAAAGTAATATGATTCGAATGGTTTACCAGAGCCTATGATTTCTGCGTGACTGCGTTACAGAAATAAGGTGTGCTGTTCATACCGTGGTGTAGAAGCCCCAAGCGTCCGAATTACGGGGAATTTCATTTAAAATTCTCTTGCAAGAGATATTTATAAACTGGTTGATCCTGTCATTAGTTATGTGCTTATCGAAGTGACAAACCCATTCATATCTGATTACATATCCGAAAACCTTAAGATCCCAGATGGTTTATTCAATCGGCTTTAGTTATTCAGACCATAAGCGTTATATGGACAGCTGTAGTAATTGCAGAGCTAATTTGCACGTAGGATACCGGATTAGAAAAGTGGCGAGTAGATTTGTTTGGATTCGGTTTCAGCTGCGCTCACTGTATTTTTGATGACCCTGAATAACTTACAGATTGTAGCCAGCCCGATGTTAGATATGAATCTTTCAAATATTGTTGCTGGGTGGTTTCCCCAACATAATGAAAACGGTTAACAGAGACATAAGTTTCGATCCCCATGAGAGTGCCTTGAAAATGGTTATTATATTCAATGACAGTTGCGGGTGCAAAAATAACGTACTACCCAGACCCAAATGAATACAGTCTAAATTCTTTTGCAAGGACCATGTTGAGAGAAATTGTTATGCCATGAGACGTGATGACTCCAGCTTAAATCGCACGTTTTGAAGTTGACTCCCACAAAAGATTCAGATTGACCTGAGTCATGCAGTCACGTGCTGTTGCTTGTTCTTAGACCATAATACCATGAGATCTGGTGCAAAGCTTGGTGTAGTGGCTGTAGAATCCAAACTACGGTTTGGATGTTGAAGAATAGCCGACCGGGGACTTTAGACACGCGCCCTTTCCCGTCGAAATCAAAACAAGTAATCGGGTAAATAGCGGTTCTATAATTCATCATAAATTTAAATGTAAATCGTTACCTAAACAAATATTACCACCCGGCTATTCAACCAATAATTGTTCAATCAATCAAATCTAAATTACAATAAATAAAGAAGTTGATAGAAGATGAGGGAAAATTACCAGTCAAAACAAATGAACGTTATTCTATCCTGACTGGATAGAACACACACAACAGGAGGAACAAATCAATATGGCTACCGCCAAGAACAAGTATCGAGTAAAACAACGCAGATGCAGTTCAGGAAGAAACACAAACATAGTGAATGCGTAAGAAAAACAAAAACTATAATGAAAAATACAAGTATTAACAATTCAAATGTAATCAAAATACAACAATGTACAACTAATGTGATCAATAGGAACAAAGTACAAGTATATACATGGAGGGATTTTTACCAACACACAAACCTTCAAAATGGATCTTACAGTGGCTATTCAACCTTTAAGCTATATCTACGTTGAACAAGTCCTGGTGTTGAAAAAGGCCTTTTGTTGACCTGTTGTGAGAAAACAGTTCATATCTGAATCTTCAAATGAAAAAGATTCAACACTTTAAAACGGATGTACATTGAGAGACTTGGAATCAAGTAACTGAAATGGACTCGGGAGCAATATTAAGTGCCCGTGAAAGGGATCTCAGGATTATGAAGTTTAGGTAGGCAGACTTAGGGGCAGAGAGTGATGGCAACGCCGGTTTGTGTTGTGCACGAAGCCATTTAACATTGTCGTCGGATCTGCTACACAAACGCCTATGGCTTGATTAACAGTCGACTGGAACTAGGTGAAAAGGATTAGGTTCATTCACTGGGAATAGTAGACCTCATACCATTATCGGTAATATATCCTATGAAGATGGAATGTGAAAACTGGTTATTTGCTGTTTGAAACGTAAGGGACAGGACTTTTCATATATTTTGATATACCACAGTCCAAACGTTTAGGTATATGTGGTCTAACTGGGTGCATTGAGCACTTAGCTCTTATTGGTTGTTGGGTAGCCCTTAATGCAGTCAATGTACAGTAGAAAACTTCAGAACAGTCAGAAAATC